TCTTTATTTCTCAACTAAATATAAATAAGTTTGAGCTCATTTTAATAATTCATAAAAACAATCAAATTTCCAGGATTAAAAAAAGCTAAAGAAAAAAATAGGCCATTGAGATATTAATTCATAATGATTTTTGCCAAGATTTGTATGCAAGATTTGTTGTGGGTGTCTATGGCTGCGATGTGAATTTTGTTGATTTCAAAATGATGATGAAAATGGTGAAACAAGAAGGCATGGTTAAGGAGTACATTGAGATATTTGATTCTTGGGTTAGTATGACATATTTGTTAGTATTAAGAAGTGATGTGTTGAATTTGTTTCTCAATGGTTGAAAGATGATCTTAGAAATCTAGTGGTTTTAAAATGCACTCAAACACTTCAATTTGCTTATATGTCGGCTAAATTTCAAGAGTTTTCCCTTAAATACTCTATGCATAGCTTAAGAAAGAGAAAGAAGAAATTGAGAAAGTGATGAAAACAAACCATATATAGATGCTTCAACTGATGTTCAGTTGAAGCATATGACTTTGTACATATGATTTTGTCTAGTTTCTTTTTACTTTTTTCTCTTCAGTCACAATTGAAATTGACTTAACAATTACATTTAGATTTTTTGATTCGATGACTATATTTTTCATCATAAAGTATACTCCCAAACTTAGATCTACGGTTTGAATCTTTATTCTCCTAAAATTGTAATCCATTAAAAAAAAAAAACCTAAAAATTGAGAATTGGATTGAAATTGTAGAATAAATTTAGCTATTAAATTAGATGTTATTCCATAAATTTAAGTGTTCAAAAAAAAATCCATATAAATAAATAGACAACACTAACAGTATAAAAGGATACTAATATGGAAGGTAGAGATATAAATAATTTTTTATATAATTTTTATGTATTATTAAATTAATAATTATACTCAATATAACAAATTTTAAATAAATAAATAAATAAATTATTTAAATAAAATATAATTATACAAAAATATTATCTCTTATATTTTTCACAAAAAGAAACACACAGGAGCCTCTAAATTGTTAAACCGTGCAAATAGCAAGAAAGCACACGGATTACTGACGTGGTGGAAAAAAGTTTTGAAATCCTGCCCAAGTGCGGACTCTATTTTGTCCATTTATTTATCCCATTTGCCTATTTCACAATCCACACCGCACCAAATCGAATTGTCTATTTCCTCTCTTTCTCTCTCGCCCGCTCGCTCAGTCACGTCTCCTTGTCTTCCAAAAACCCTAACTCTCAGGTAACTCACTGCAGGGACTCAGTCATGTTTGCACCGTTCCAACCGATCTTTAAACGATTCTCATTGATTTTGACTATTTTTCGTGCAGGATTCTACATGAAAGGTGCTAGATC